TGGCCACTGGCTCTGCTGGATTGGGGATTCTGGGAATTGCAATTCAAATTGCTTTATACATTAATGTGTGTTGGCCCTCTAAATTGCTTTAAGGTTATGCCAGTCCCTGCTGATGGAAATGACAGTCCAGGGGACTAGCAAGGGCATTAGAGATAGTACAAACTTGTCAGTGGCTTTTTATTTTCGAGGAATGTTTGTTTATTGGTTGTTTTTATTTGTTTGGCATTGTTGGTGAAGTTCTGTTCCAGCATTTGGGAAGCTGACCTCAAAACAAAGTATTTATTTATTTACAGTATTTATATTCCGCCTTTATCACCTCAAAGGGGACTCAAGGCGGATCACAGAATACATATATGGCAAACATTCAATGCCGGTTGTACAATGACAAGACAGACAACAGATAGAAGTGTATATTTAGGCTTTCCCATCTTTCGGCATCGTTGGAGGCTGTGCTCGATTACAGCCACAGTGAAGTAATACGCTACCACTAAATGATGACTTTACCGTGCTGGAATTGTATAATGTAGGGGTTCTCAAAGTGTGCTCTGCAGGGCTCTTGGGGCTTCATGAAGCATACTGAGGAGCTGCGTGCTTCTCTGCTCCTCTCACACCAAGCTTTCCTCCTCTTTCCTGCTCCTTCTTCTTCTCCACCACCTCCTTTGCTGCCAAAAGCCTTTTTCCTCTCCTCCTTTGCTGCCCAGATCCTTTCTCCCTTGCCTTGCTTGCTTCTAAAACCTGTTTCCCTCCCACTGCTCAGGGGGTGCTTTGATTATGCTTTTCCTGTATGAAAGGAGAGGATTGGACTGGATGGCCCCTAGAGTTTCCCCAACCATCTGCTACTGGCCCGGCCTGTCAGTCAATTTTTAAAACGCAATGCATCAAAATGCATTGAATGCAAATCAATGCATTGAATGCAAATCAAGGTGATCAGCTGAAACATTACCCTGGTCATTCCACAGATATATAAACCCATTTCTCCTACTTCCAACAGACCTCACTACCTCTGAGGATGCTTGCCATAGATGCAGGCGAAATGTCAGGAGAAAAATTGCCTCCAGAACATGGCCATATAGCCCGGAAAAACCTACAACAACCCATGAAAACCTACAACAACCCATGAAAGCCTTCGACAATACAATGCATCAAAAATTTGCTCATACTTGCACATATGACACATTATAAATTATACAGTTATACAATATATAACATAGCATAATATAATATATAAACATTTCTTGGGGCTCAACGAGAAACCTTTTGCTTCATAAAGGGCTCCGTGACTGAAAAAGTTTGAGAACCCCTGATATACTGTATCTCCTTCCAATGTGTAATTTTTGAAATGCTTCTGAATTCATTGTGAAAAGAAAAGAGCTGAGAGAATTAGCAAGGGTTAATCTTTCAAATCAAAACAGTTCAGGGTCTTGCGACTTTGAAGAAATGAGCATATTTTGAGAGAGACTCGGGATCATTTGCCCTCTGGTGAGAAGTGCTGGTACCACCTGTGACAATTCAAGGCCAGATGGACCACCAAGCGCCCAATTATGAATAAACCGAATGCATCTTAGAGGGAGACCCTGAAGCAATCTTGCACTGATGATATTTTGACAAGGTCTATTCAAATGTAGGTTGAGTTTCTGAAGGCTGTTAAATTAGTCTTTAAATGCAAATCCCTATCAAAGAACTGTGAAAGAAATCTCAGAGAAATATACCCTTTGCTGTTGGGAAATGAGTAGAATTTTGCATATTTTTTAAACATTGAATATTCATTTAGAGGGGGAAATCAACAAATCATTGTTTAGATTAAATGTTTCTTTCTCTCTCAAGATTAAATCTATCAGTGCATTAATTATATTCTCTATTTTTATAACTCTCGCTACATAGATGCACCTATACTGTGACATGCCCCCAAATTGGGGGTTATTCAAAGTTAATACTGACCTAAGCACAAGCCTTGGCTTGAATCCCGCATGGTTGGTAGGTATGCATTAAGCACTGTACTTACGGTGCTATGCAGTGAATTCTGGCTTCACTCCATCCCCAACTCCATCCTTGCAAACAGCCACTGCAACAGCAGGGATCTGTTCCCATGATGTTTGAGAAGCAGCTGGCTGCTATTTCCGTCCACTCCCTTGAGTGATCTCCAGTGTGAACAGCAAGAAACAAGGTTCCTCTTGCAACTGCACCTTGCACAGATGGGAACCAATTAATGCGAGCCCAGTTCCATTCTGCCTGACAGGAACACATCATCAAAGCACCCCCAACAGATGGTCATCCGGCTTCTGCTTGAAAACCTCTAGAGAAGACTCTACCACATTCTAAGGCAGCATATTCCACTGTCAAACTGTCTTGCCACCAGGATATTCTTCCTAATGTTTAGATCGAGTCTTTTTTCCTGCAATTTGAATTTATTGCTCTGTCCCAGTCTCCAGAACAGCAGAAAACAAGCTTGCCCTCTCTTAAGTATGACATCCTTTCCAATATTTAAACATGGCTATTATGTCCCCTCTCAGCCTTCACTTTTTCAAGCTGAATATACCCAGCGCCCTAAAATGCTCTTCATAGGGCTTGGTGTCTGACCTCTGATCATTTTGGTTGCGCATCTTTGGACAAGTTCCTTCTTGTCAATATCCTCCTTGAATTGGGTGCCCAGAACTGAACCTAATATTATTCCAGATGAAGTCAAACCAAAGTGGATTAAAGCGGAGCTATGACTTCTCTCAGTCTTGACATTATACTCTAGTTCAGGGGTCCTCAAACTAAGGCCTGGGGGCCGGATACGGCCCCCCAAGGTCATTTACCCGGGCCTCACTCAGAGTCAACCTAAGTCTGAAACGACTTGAGAGCACACAACTACAACAATCCTATCTCATCAAGCAAAAGCAGGCCACACTTCCCATTGAAATACTAATAAGTTTATATTTGCTAAAATTGTTCTTCATTTTAATTATTGCATTGTTTTTAAGTGTTTTTGCAATACAAATAAGATATGTGCAGTGTGCATAGGAATTAATTCATGTTTTTTTCAAAATATAATCCGGCCCTCCAACAGTTTGAGGGACTGTGACCTGGCCCTCTGTTTAAAAAGTTTGGGGACACCTGCTCTAGTTGATGCAACCTAGAATTGCATTAGCTTTTTAAGCTGCTGCATCACTCTGTTGACTCACGTTCAGATGTTATTTCCCAAGACTCCTAGATACCTTTCACGTGGATTGTTTTCAAACCACGTGTTTCCTATTCTATATCTGTGCATTTTATTTTTATGCACAAAGTGTAGTACTGTGCATTTCTCCCTGTTGAAATTAATTTTGCTCACTTTGGCTCAGCTGTCCAATCAGGGGAGTGTAACCCCGTCCAGCACAGGCTGTAACCCTTTACCCTGTTTGGCCTTTTGACTGATCAGGAGAACCTCTGTCTTGTCTGAACTCAGTTTCAATTTGTTCGCCCCCATCCAGATCGTCACCTGCCAAACAACGGTTCAGGATCTGGATAGCCTCCATAGCAGTAGGTGGAAAGGAATTATAGAGTTGGACATCATCTGCATACAGGACAAAGGCTACGGGGCCAAGTAGGTGTCACCCAGCAACACCTTCCGAGATTGACCCTCCAGAAGGAGCGGAGCCACTGTAAGTCCCATTCCCGCAAGGCATCTCAGGATACTGTGGTCTACGGTATCGAAGGCCATTGAGAGGTCCAATTGTGAGGAATGCTAGAAATTGCACTCCAACATCTAGTGTTGGCGCTGCTGTAGATCCGGCTGCGAATTGACTCAAGATAAAGCTTGATCACACTTCATTTTACATTTATCTCCAATATAGGATGGTGTCTAGGTGATATTTTGTATCAGGGATCACAAGTCAGTCAAAATTTGAGTTGGGGGCCATCATTCACTACCCTTCTAACAATAAATTTAGACCTGGCCTGATTTCAGCTTGTGATAAAAATGTAGGGATAGGTGGATAAGCATTAAGTTCAGAGCCAAGGGTTGTTCCATGTCAACACTCATGGAATGAAACCTATATTCAAAATTCAAGCAAATCACTGACTTCTCTACAACCTGAATTCAAATGGTCTAAAGTCCACTGGTCTTTCAGAAATGTTCCTAGAGTTTGGACTCCCATCAAAAACTTTGGGACAGCTGTTCTCAACCTTTGGCCCTCCAGATTGTTGGAAATAGCAACCTCCCAAGCTTTTCACTTTTCATTTGTTAATGTATATATTTGCTAACCGGTATTCTATGTGTATACTGATTTGCCAGGTACTTACCTCTTTGGTGTGGGAATTATAGAAATGTGATTGTACTGAGCATGTTCAGACTCATGACACCCATTTTGTATTATTTGCATCAGACCTCAGTGGAGGTGGATGTATGCGTTTGGACTTCAATTGATTCACTATGACTTGTGGACTTCAGTACTACTTAAATCTTTTGGGCTATGGAGTATTGATAAATATTCTGTGTACTGAACACAAGAAACTACATCTTATTCTAACTCAGCTTTAGTAAGAAATGTGCCTATACAGTAAATTAATACAAGATGTTTGTAAGTAAACAAGATATGTTATTTTTCAGACTTTGCTTTTTTATCTCTGAATGCATATTTTAACTAAGAGGTTTCAAGGGAGTGTATATCTTTTGGGCATTACATGAATGCTTAAGAATATCCCTTGTTCAAAGAGCTGACTTCTAACAAGGTCATGCTTTTATTGACTAATGGTTTTCAAAAGGTGGTCTCCACATGTTCATGGAGATTTGCATTCCCCAAACTGATGTGACATCATTTTTACCTTTTCAATAAGGATATAGTGCACTTATTTCCAATGGGTTATGGAATTTCCAATACAGATGTTTTGGACTTTAGCTTGCCATGCTGGCAAAGCCTTCTGGGAGGAGAAGTTCAAATAAGTTTTGAGAATCCTTGCAAAATGATTAAAAAATGAGGCAAATTAGGAATGTAGGGGATAAAGTTTTAAGATAAGAAACCCATTCCACAATATTCAGATCCAGGAGTTCGATGTCTGGAGTTTTATTCAAGTTTCACTCTTACATCAAATCTACTCATGCACTTTTTTCAGGAGTCGTACACGTCCAAAAAGATTTTCCAGCACTTCAGCAATTTAATTTACATACAAGAAAAGAAAAATAGTATACTAGGGAAATTAAGGTAAGTTGCAGTCTAAAAGAGTTCATTCTAAACTCGCTACTAGCCTTTCTCCGGAATTGAAGGCCAGACCTTTAAAGTGCCACGTTTATGTACAAACTATTAAAATACTGAATAAAAATAAAAAAAAACCCCTAATACCTGTCACACAGGATCTGTAGTTTTCCCTACAACCCATACACAAGGACATGAAAAACCACCATTTTCTAGAGAATCCTCATTCTATTTGCTTTGTTGTTACCAAGTAATGGAACGTGCCAGTTCAAAGCTCTGGTACTTCAGAAAATCAGAGTAATTTGTGTATCAATGAAGCATATGTAGCAGTGCTAGAAATCTGTTTTCCCATTTTAGCCACATACACTACCCAAAAGTACCACCACACAGTATAAGAACAGGATTCTTGAAGATAACAAGACAAATCACTAGCATTCCCAAGCCAGCTTTTCTTAAATTCATGTCTGCCTTAGAAATCTGCATCCAAGGTGAAAGAATTGTCTACAGCTTTTGACATCACTCCCATCTTCTGATATTCTCCGACACGCTTTTCAAAGAAATTAGTTTTGCCTTCCAGCGAGATATTCTCCATGAAGTCAAACGGATTCTCAGCTTTGTATATCTGAAAGAAATTAAGTTACACGTTTCAACATCTCAGGTGCACAACCTATTCGTGCCATGGTTACCTAGATCCCAAATCATACTCAACCTTCCCTAATTTGCCATCCCGCAGAACAAATTGGAGATTATAGGATTTAAGAGTGTAACCCTGGTGGCACAGTGGGTTAAATCACTGAGCTGCTGACTGAAAGGTCGGCGGTTTGAATCCAGGGAGCAGGGCGAGCTCTGGCTGCTGGGGGGATTGATTTGGTCATTTGGGAGTTGTGGTTGCTTGGGAGTTGTAGTTGCTGGACCTCCATCCAGAGAGCACTGTGGACTCAAACAATCATGTTCTAAATATTATTTACTAGCCGTCCCCAGCCACGCGTTGCTGTGGCCCACATGGGGGTTCTGTGTGGGAGGTTTGGCCCAATTCTATCATTGGTGGGGTTCAGAATGCTCTGGTGAGGTTCAGAATGTAGGTGAACTATAAATCCCAGTAACTACAACTCCCAAATTGTATTCTATTTTCCCCAAACTCCACCAGTGTTCACATTTGGGCATATTGAGTATTCTTGTAGAGTTTGGTCTAGATCCATCATTGTTTGAGTCCAGTGATCTCTGGATGTAGGTGAACTACAACTCCAAAACTCAAAATTAATGCCAACCAAACCCTTCCAGTATTTTCTGTTGGTCATGGGAGAACTGTGTGTTTGGTTCAAGTCCATTCGGTTCAAGTCCATCGTTGGTGGGGTTCGGAATGCTCTTTGATTGTAGGTGAACTATAAATCCCAGCAACTACAACTCCCAAATGACAAAATCAAATTTTTTGAGTGAAGGACATACATTGGGTTGTTAGAGGTGTATTGTGTCCAAATTTGGTGTCAATACATCCAGTTGTTTTTTGAGTTCTGTTAATCCTACAAATGAACATTACATTTTTATTTATATAGATCTAGAACATTTATACCCCGTCCTTCTCATCCTCCAAAGCAGGACTCAAGACGGCTTCCAACAGGCAACTATTCAAGGCCGGCACAATATAATAACATAATATAAAATACAATTAGCATACATTAAAAACAGTTATAAATATACATTAAAACAGTTTGCCGGTTCAAATCATCATCCGAATCAGTCCATTGCAGTCCACTAAAACCTTATCTTCACCAGTAAATCAGTGTATTCTGCAAATGCTTGATCCCACAGCCAGGATTTGAGTTTCTTCTGGAAGATCAGGAGGGATGGGGCAGATCTAATCTCTTAAGGGAGGGAGATCCACAGCCGAGGGGCCAACTTGGCATGAATGGTCAATATGCCCAAATGTAAACACTGATGGAAGTTTGGGGGAAAATAGACCTTGACATTTGGGAGTTGTAGTTGCAGGGATTTATAGTTAACTTACAATCAAAGAGCACTCTGAACCCAGCCCACAATGGATTTGCACCAAACTTGGCACACTACCTACATGGCCAACATTGAATACTGTTGGGGTTGGGGGAGGAGTGTGTACTGTTTTTGAATTCTGGGAGTTGCAGTTTACCAACACCAAAAAGGAAGAGAATGCAGACGGGAGATATTTTCAGCCTTCTCTTCCAAAAGGGTTCTTAAGACCATCAGAAATATGCATTTTCTGATGGTCTTTGGCAACCCTGCTAAAAAAAACCCTAGCGACCCCCCCTCCCCAAGGATTGCCTAGGTATGAAGAGCCTCTACCAGGTTAGTACAAAGATGAAAGATGCAATAGCTATGTGTGCAACAACCATAAACTCTAAAGAAATTGTTATTGAATCCAATATGAACAATCCAATATGCCTAGAATTCATTCTGAGGGAAAATACACAGAAATAAGTAAGTCTGTGCTGCTGCGTTATGTGTCGCGCTTAATCATGATCTTCCGCTAACAAGCTAAGAAGCGACTGCTTAATGGTGGAAAGCAAGACCAAATGTAAACAAATTTAATGATTAGGCAAACTGCACCCAACTTACCTTGTTAAAACCCAATTCCAGTATCAGTCTGTCTGCCACAAATTCAATATACTGCTTCATTAAAGTGCAATTCATGCCAATTAGGTTTACAGGCAAGGCTTCCGTCAAGAATTCCTGCATTTAAGGAAACAACGTAAAACTTAGTAGGCAAATACTACACAATTTAATGCCCTGCTAAGTTTTAAAGCATCTCAAGCTTTGATGAAGGGTCTTTTAAGCGCCACCAGAAAGAACCGCCAATTACCTGCTCTATCCTGACAGCGTTTGTAATTATCTCTCTCACTCTTTCCTCTGATGGTTTGTGTACCAAGTGTTTGAACATTAGGCAAGCAAAGTCGCAGTGCAAACCCTGGGAAAAAAACATAATTGGAAAATGTTTCAGAGAACAGCTGGAACAAGCTCTGTGAGTCTTATTATCATCATCATCAGACGCGCATAAACCCTAAAAGCAACAGAAATCAATTTCTAATAGGTTTCATACACAGGAATAGCTTCCATAGTTCCTCGCCATTGCACTGATAAAGCAGAAATGAATAATCCACATTCTCAGAAAATGTGGGATTCCCAGTCATTTCCCCATCTGCTGGAATGAAATTTTGGTGGAATCAAGCCATCAAGATGGTATCTGATGGGGTTGATAATGGAAAACACCTCTGCTCACAGTCAAACATCCCATCCATACATCCTCAAGGATCAGAAGGCGTCAAAAATAAAGCAAAAGCAATAGCTGCCACAGGTACCATAACTGATTTTTTTTTGTCATGTTAGAAGCGACTTGAGAAACTGCAAGTTGCTTCTGGTGTGAGAATTGGCCGTCTGCAAGGACATTGCCCAGGGGATGTTTTTGATGTGTTACCATCCTTGTGGGAGGCTTCTCTCATATTCCCGCATGGGGAGCTGGAGCTGACAGAGGGAGCTCATCCGCGCTCTCCCCAAATTTGAACCTGCAACCTGTCAATCTTCAGTCCTGCTGGCACAGGGGTTTAACCCACTGCGCCAATATAAGTGAAGATAATGAATGAAGACTCCAGAGCCATGTTTTTCCACTTTATGGAAACAGAAGTACAGGAAGTCCCAAACTTACAAACATCTGACTTAAAGACAACTCATAGTCAAGAACGGAGGTGAGACAACAGAAAGCAAGAGACCAATTCTCAGAAGAGAAATTCCCTCATGGGGAAAAGGTGTCTCATCTGAAGCTTCCTCACCAATCCTTGTTTCCACAAGTCAGTATTTTCAAAATCCAATGATCACAGGGACAGAAAGTGAAGTGAAATCTTCTGAACAGGGGCACAGATAGCAAAACAAACCCCACAAAGGTGTTCACCCTTCCCTATGCTAGCCAAAACTAGAAAAATAAACTTGGCTGGAGTTGCAGTTTAAAAACATACCTGCTCCGACTTATATACAAATTATGCTTAAGAACAAACCTACAGAAGCCCTCTTGTCCATAACCCGTAAGTAAAGCCCAGCTTTGGAAAAATAAGCCTTACCTCATCTCTACTGATCAGTTCATTGGAGAAAGTGAGTCCAGGCATCAGGCCTCGCTTTTTCAACCAAAATATAGAGGCAAAAGAACCGGAAAAGAAGATTCCTTCTACTGCAGCAAAGGCTACGACCCGTTCTCCTGTTGGGAGACAGTTCTTAGTTGAGTTGGTCATTCAGGTGTGTAAAATGTCAAGACAGAAAAGGGGGGAAATGCTCAAGGCACTCACCGTAAGTAGCATGTTTATCTCCAATCCACCGCATGGCCCAGTCGGCTTTCCTTTTAACACATGGCAAGGTTTCGATGGCATTGAACAGATATTCTCTAGAATAACACAATTATTATGCATTATGAAAGAGGCAGTGACGTTATTGCTTTTGCATCCCTCTTCCCAACCTTTAAGTTAGGTGAAACAAATCTAGATTACTCAAAAGTACTGGAACACATGACACACAATGTAACTAGAGGGGTTTGACTGGAAAGAGCCCCATAAAATTATACTCTTATGTTCAAACTTTTAATATAACCTACAGGAGAAAATGGCTTTGAATATTTTTGATTACAACTCCAATTAGCCCTCAAACCATGTATTGACTAGGACTGATGGGAGATATAGTAGTATTATATTTATTTGTCAGAAATATTAAAAATTAACTAGGTATTTTTGATTACAAAAATGTGAGGCAAGTACTGAAAGGGTTAAATGGATACAATGACTCAGCAAAAGCTGCAGTTCTATATAAGCAGGTGTGCCTGTAGCTTAGCAGCTGTCAGTCTGAGGTAAACCTCAGTGGGAGAAAGGTCTCAGTCTGTGAGAAGGCCTCACAGTGTGAGGTAGGCCTTGGTCTGTGAGAAGCCTCTGTGTGAGGTAGCATCACAGTGTAAGGCAGGCCTTAGTCTATGAGGCAGCCAAGTGTGACCTAGACCTAGTGTGAGAAGCTTTGGTGAGAGAAGCCCCAGGTTGAAGGCCTCATGTGGAAAACTTCAGTGTGAAGGCGGCTATGTGTAAAGCTATTGTGTGAATCAAAGCCTGGAAGCATGGGTGCATTCATCTGAGAAGAAGTACTAACCTCTCTTTGGAGTCTTTGATGTAAGTATCAATAAGTAAACTGTACATTTCTGAATGAATATTTTCCATGGCAATCTGGAAGCCATAGAAACAGCGAGCTTCAGTGACTTGGACTTCTTGGCTGAATCGCTCCACCTAGAGGACACACAGCATTGTACTTTTAAGTATTTTTCCCACTTTACAGGAAATACATATACAGTAGTCATATAATGCATATCAATGGAGTTAATCTGCATTTTGGAAATGCATTATATGGCAGTGTAGATCCAGCTTGAGTTGGAAGTGCTCCTTTGTAGCTTCTTCAGCAAATTGGGAAACACACCAAGAAAGTGAGTCATCTATGGCTTCCTGTTGCATCTGAACCAAGAAACCATGCCCCCTTCCGCACAACTGAATAAAATCCCACATGATCTGCTTTGAACTGGAATATATGGCAGTGTGGACTCTGATAACGCAGTACAAAGCAGATATTGGGATTTTCCGCCTTGTTATTCTGGAATATAGGGCTGTGTGGAAGGGCCCCAAATTTATCACATCTGAACAAGATAGGATGTTAAGCAATGGATTAATTATGTAATTTCCTGGATTTTTTTTCAGAAGCCATTAACCAAGGAATAAATAAATGAACTGTTTACTAGACTCCAAAACCTACTCAGCTTCTTAAAGTGATATATTATATTAATGTGGTCTTCATACCAATTCTGAAATGACTGAGAACACTAAAAGTCTAATGTGCATTTTCAATATTGTTACTTGAGAACGAGGGACAATTAGTCCTGGACAAAAGGAAACTCAATAGCCATATCCAGTCGTTGTTTACCTAAAACTCTAGTGTTGAAAGGCAGAGGGCAAACACAATATATCATTTATGTAGGACTTCCAATTTTCATTTGCCAGGCTTCACCAATGTATCCCCTATATGAATGCCGTGGTGACTCATTGACGAGTGCACTGCATAATGATATTAAATTAATTGCCACTAGTAATAATTAGCTTTATTTATTTGATGCATCAGTCCTACACTGCATTTAGTTTCATGGCAGGGACACAAAGTTCCAATCATGCATTTTTAACCAAGTGGCAGGAAAAGTTCTGAATCATTTGACAGCAAGAAAAGGGATTATCGGTCTAGAAGTGTCTCCCCATATGCTCAGGCAATCAAACTCCACTTTAAACAGATGTTCAGTGGGCCTCCTGACAACCTGAATATCTGTGAGAAAAATGTCACACATCCAGTGTAATTACACCGGATCTTTTAGCTGAAAAACTGGAAGTTTCGTGGCATTTACAATTCTAGATAAGTCCCCAGATATGTAGATCGCATTGGCAAGGCTGGAATTCACATCTCTGGAGGCACAGAAACAGCAGCAGAGGAAGCTGGCAGCCCATGGAAGAAGGAATGTGCTAAGCAAATACTCCGAGCCAACAGCAGAGAATATGAAATCAACTCATTTAAAGAAATGTCCTTTTTCACATTACAGTGGGATTGAAACCTGCTTAGTGCCAAAAAAAAAAAAAGATAAGATGCTGCTAAATCACATTCCCTTAATCATCGATTCCCAAAAGTTTCCATGAGTCTGAGTTACGTTTCTCTGGTCCCATGTTTCAACTTATGAACCTGAACAATCAAAATAGCTCCCTTCATATGGCCCTGATTAATGTGTTGTCAAAGCCTTTCATGGCCGAAAACACTGGGCTGTCGTGAGTTTTCCAGGCTGTATGGCCATGTTCCAGAAGCATTCCCTCCTGGTGTTTTGCCCACATCAGAGGTTGTGGGGTCTGTTGGAAACTAGGCAAGTGAGGTTTGTATATCTATGGAAAGTCCAGGATGGGAGAAAGAATTCTTGTCTGCTTGAGGCAAGTGTGAAGTTGCATTTGGCCACCTTGGTTAGCAATGAGTGGCCTTGCAGCTTCAAAGCCTGGCTGCTTCCTGCCTGAGGGATCCTTTGTTGGGGGTGTTAGCTGGCCCTGATTGTTTCCTATCTGGAAACAATGTTGTTCTTTATTTACTGTCCTGATTTTAGAGGTTTTTTTAATACCGGTAGCCAGTTTTTGTTCATTTTCATGGTTTCTTTTCTGTTGAATTTGTCCACATACTTGTGGATTCCAATGGCTTCTGTATGTAGTCTGACATGGTAGTTGTTAAAGTAGTCCAGCATTTCTGTGTTTTCAAATAATATGCTGTGTTCAGATTGGTTCATCAACAAAGGATTCCCCCAGGCAGCAACCAACCAGGTTTTGAAGCTGCAAACCCATTCAATGATAATCAAGGTGGCCAATTGCTACTTTCACACCTGCCTCAAGCAGACAAGAGTTCTTTCTCCCACCCTGGACATTCCACAGCTATGTAAACCCCATTTGCCTAGTTTCCAACAGAACTCACAACCTCTGAAGATGCCTGCCATAGATGTGGGTGAAACGTCAGGAGAGAATGCTTCTGGAACATGGCCGTACAGCCCAGAAAACTCACAGCAACCCAACAGGATTAATTCTTTCCCTAGTTCTAAGTGACTATTAGCAGTTCAAGAAATAAAATCTGTTCTTGAAAAGAAAGGATTATTTGCTGCACTTGTATTGTGACCTGTTTCAAATAACTCTTTCTAACAAGACGCATATTTGTTAGTTATATGTATATGCCTTCATTACACCTGTTGACTTGGGATAACCTCATGAATTTCACAGGGTTTTCTTAAGCAAGTACTCAGATCACTTTGCCAGTTCCTTCCTGACTTTAAATGGTTGTGTTCAGGATTTGTGAGGAATGTCATTTTAAGACCAACCACGTGTAAAAGGAAGCAAGGTGAGATAAGTTGCTTCTGTCTTTAATATTATGACTAGACTAAGTTTGGGCTATGAAGGGATCCAGAAGTTAAGTCTTCTTACCAAATTTTCGTTGACAATGCCATCACTTGCAGCAAAGAACGCCAAGATGTGTGAAATGAAATACTTCTCATCAGGCTTCAAGGATTCCCAATGCTGGAGATCTTTGGAGAGATCCACCTAAATGTAGAAACCAGCCAATGAGAACAGAGTAATGCATAGATCTGAAGTACATCTTGTTAAATTTCCTTAGTATCATCAAACGTCCACCCAATACATAGGTAAAGGGGGAGAGGCAAGAGCATCCTACCTCTTCTGCCGTCCAAAAGGAAGCTTCTGCTTTCTTGTACATTTGCCAAATGTCGTGGTACTGAATGGGAAAGATCACAAAGCGGTGTGGATTATCCCGAAGAAGAGGTTCGTCCTGCACGTTATTTGAAGGAAGCTGCTTCACTCCTTTCAGTGCATCCTAAAGGGGAATAAAAGACAAATTAATAAACTGCCCTGTTGCCAGAAAACTTGCTTATACCATGGGGACAAAATTTGTTTTTAACACAAATATGAAATGAAGCAAAGATAAATGATAGGTGCCCCAAATCCTTTGGAAAGAAGCAATAGGAAACAAACCCCACCTGTAGGGTACTATTTTAAACCTTTGCAACCTAAAAAGAAACAAGTCTGACCCAAACATTCTGATTTAACTATTGTGAATATGATTTAAATGTGCTTAAACTTTTCAAACAACATGACAACAGGGAACCAATGTTATTTTGAGACTGTTTATTTCATTTTGTCATTTCATGTATTTATTCTGATGCTATTTTGCACTTTGTTGTATTGTTATTTTTGGGCTTGGCCTCAAAATAACAATACAAGTCCCCTTTAGGGAGATGGTGGCAGGGTATAAATGAAGTTTATTATTGGTTTATAAAGTGTGAGGACAGAAGTGGCATCATTTCGAGGAATGTTAAAAAGCAATGACCTAAAAAAAGGAAATGAGAAGAAATAATGCTGGGTTGCTGTGAGTTTTCTGGGCTGTTTGGCCATGTTCCAGAAGCACTCTCTCCTGATATTTCACCTGCACCTATGGCAGGCATCCTCAAAGGTTGTGAGGTCTGTTGGAAACTAGGCAAGTGGGAGAAAGAACTTTTGTCTGTTCAAGGCAGGTATGAATGTTACAGTTGGCCAACCTTGATTAGCATTAAATGGCCTTGCAGCTTCAAAGCCTGGCTGCTTCCTGCCTGGGGAGAATCCTTTGTTGGGAGGTGTTAGCTGGCCCTAATTGTTTCCTGTCTAGGATTCCCTTGTTTTCTGAGTATTGCAGTAGAGGAATGATAGAGAAGGGAACTCTGAAAGAGGATTTTCCCTATACTGGCAATCCCAGAGTCACAAATTGCTCCTGGTTAAGAACAGGGGTGAGACAATAGGAAATGAGAAAAATAATAACAAAATAAAACTTTATTTCTAGACCGTCCTCTCTCCCTAGAGGGACTCAGAGCGGTTTACACCTAAAAAGGCAAACATTCAGTGTCTCAAAATAGGTAGAAACACATCAAATAATAAAAATAATGAAGAGTTATCTACCCCAGGAAGGGAAATTTATTCCTTAAAAAGTTATCATAGGGAAAAGGTGTCTCCACTGAGGTTTATCACTAATCCTTGTTCCACAAGAACCCATTTTTAAAATCCAATTACCACAGGGACAGAAAACGAGGTGAAATCTTCTGAACAGGAATACAGACAGCAAAATAAACGTCACAAGGGTGCCAACCCTTTCCTATACTATCCAAAAATATATATTTGGCTGGAGTTACATTTTAAAATGTACCTGTTCCAACTTAAGTAAAAAACCTACAGAACCTATCTTGTTCATAACTTGGGGACTGTCTGTATTGCAAACTAATGCGAAAGCAGGGTTTCCTCCTCATACTAATTTGAGAGGACAATACCAGAGTTTAATGCCATTTTCAGTACTTTTCTTCTTAGCACCACATTGAAATGGAGGATCTTCAGTTAAAACACACTGGTTCAGTTTAGGAATTTCATAACTTACAATCAGAAGTTTGCTTATTATGTTTACGCAGAGAGGATTTCAATCATATGATGGAGGGATGACGGGGATGATTGCAAGAGCAGCAGATGCGCGCGTGCATGCACACACACACACTCCCTCATGGGCCCAATTTCTAGCACTAAGGTCGTGGTCCTCAACCTTTGGTCCCCCAGAAGTTTGGGACTTCCACTCCCAGATGCTCCTGCTAGTTTGGCCAGACAGCAAAGATCCTGGGAGAGAAACCCAAGTCATCTGGAGCAGTGGTTCCCAACCTGTGGTCTCTAGACCACCAGTGGTCTGCAAGAAGTAAAATATGATCTGTGGCCTCTCTGTTACTACTGCGGATAATAACACAGCCCAACAGGAAAAAAAATTCTTGGTGTCTTCACTTTTAGGCCTATTCCTGGGGGTATTTGGGGTGCTGATTCAGAAAATTGCACTGGATAGACCACATCAGCTCTAGATTATTAAATGTAGTTTTCGGTGGGCGAGCAGATGGATTCCGTATCAGAAACTAGAGCTGATGTGGTCTATCCAATGCAATTTTCTGAATCAGCACCCCAAATAACCAAACTGAATCTAAAGTTGACCAAAAATTGATGCTTAACCCTTTTGGTACTAATGTTGGGAGAGTGGTCCCTGGTCAAAAAGTTTTGAGAACCACTGATCTGGAGGAACAAAGGCTGAGAACCACAGAGACATCCTGCTATCAAATGTGTGGGGAAATGAATGGGGAAGATGAGGGCAAAGTCTTTTGCTCAAGCTTATTTCAAGTAACACTTATATGTTTTGAATGGGAAATATAACAAAGTAACACAGTTAATAAAACTTCAGTGTCTGTCACTTTTTCTTTCCTCAGAGCTGCACCAGGATATTAGTTATTTCTGAGAACCAAATTAGTGTAAAGACCAGGTGCTGCCTGATATTGGAAGCTTAGCAAGGTCAGTTAGTACTTGGATGGGAGACAAATAAATGATTATGAGGTAATTGAGGCTATGTTTCCAAGAGAGAAACTGGCAAAAGGATCTTCAATATTCCTTCTCCCATAAAACTTAATCATAGAGTAATAGAGTTGGAAGAGACTGCATGGGCCATCTAGTCCAACCCACTGCTCTGAAGGAAAAAGCACAATCAGAGCATCCCCAACAGATGGCCATCCAGCCTCTGTTAAAAAGCCTCTCAGGCAGTGGTTCTCAACCTGTGGGTCCCCAGGTGTTTTGGCCTACAACTCCCAAGAAATCCTAACCAGTTTACCAGTTGTGAGGATTTCTGGGAGTTGAAGCCCAAACATCTGGGGACACAGAGCAGTGGACCACTGCTCTGGGTCACCCTGATTGCCAACTTAAAGGAACATACATATTTTTATAGCAGGTCTGTCCTCCGTAGTGGTCACACCTAAACTACAGGAGTTGAGAAAAGTGGGATACAAATATGGTCCAGAGTGAAGAGAGAGGGGGGCAGAAGATCAGTTCCATCTTGTCTCCTGCCTAGGTCATCGGTTGGGAGCCCCCCCCCCAACTGTTTCTCTGGTCCAGAGTGGAGAGGGGGTGAGAAGACACTTCCACCTTGTCTCCTGTGGAAGACAAGGTGGAAGTGTGCTTTACTAATAATGTAATACAATAGACTATTGTATGTGTGTGTGTGTGTGTGTGTGTGTGTGTGTGTGTATATATATATATATATAAAAAATATTTGTAATATTATAAGGTGATACAATATAATAATAATATTATAACTATATATTTATTATATATAATTATACAATATAATTATACAATATATTATATATTTTATATTACATGCAATATTACTAATATTACAATATAATGGTATAGTACAATATAGTAATATATAATGCTGATATTGTACTATGCTAATAATATATTGTATATACATATATTTATAATATCATAATACAATATCATACTAATAATACAATATTATAATTATTTATTTTATATTACATGCAATATTACTAATAATATTACAATATAATGGTATAGTACAATACAGTAATATATAATGCTGATATTGTACTATGCTAATAATATAATATATTGTACGAATATATATCTTGCAAGCTGCTCTGAGTCCCCTTCGGGGTGAGAAGGGCAGCATATAATAAATGTCGTAAATAAATAAACAATATGGTAAATAAATAAATAAAAGTGGTTATTCAACCCTAGCTCTAACTGCAATCCTATTCCACCCCCACCCCAATTGAAAAAAACATTAAACTATCCCTGGTAACAAACATTTCAGATAAGGATTACTTACTTAACCTATATATTTAATCCCCCCCAAAAAGCTGCATCACCTAGGAAAGGCCTGCGATTCAATTCACCCTCCAGCCCCAATCCAACTCCTCCCCTCCCTCCTTGTTTCCTTTCAGGGCAGATTTGGCGCCAAACTGGAGGGAAGGGGAGAAAGGAGTCCTGAAAGAGCTGAGGCAGGGATTGAATCAGCCACCACCCTGAAGTGTCCTGTAAGGAGAACTCACCGCCTCAGACTCCTGAAAGATCTTCCTTGCGGCCTTGGAAGCCAGGACTCGAGTAGAGCTGAGTGAAGGGGGCTGCAAACAAAACATAAATACATATATATATGGGTCAGAGAAAAGGTGACTTTAGATACAAGTACAGTAGGCCTGGGCCAACTTGGGCCCTCTTCCAGGTATTTTGGACTCCCAACTCCCACCATTCCTAACAGCCTCAGGCCCCTTCCTTTTCCCTCTCAGCTCCTTAAGCTGAGCGGCTGAGGGGGGAAAGGAAAGGGCCTGAGACTGTTAGGGATGGTGGGAGTTGAAGTCCAAAACACCTGGAAGAAGGCCCAAGTTGGCACAGGCCTGAACTATACTGTAGAATTGTTGTAGTTTGACCCCAACTGCCAGGGTTGAATGTGATGGAATCCTGGGAACTGTAGTTTGATGAGCTCTGGCAGAGAAGACTACACCTCCACACCTCTGAGGATGCTTGCCACAGATGTAGGCGAAACGTCAGGAGAGCATGCTTCTAAAACATGGCCATACAGCCCGAAAAACCTACGACAACCTAGTGATTGGAAGCCTTCGACAACATAAAGACTAAAGCCCTCATAACATTACAGTTCCCATGATTCCATAGCACTGAGTCATGGCAGTTCAAGTGGAATAGAACTGTGTTAATTCTACTGTGCAAAGGCACCCTTCCTGCTTCAGATGGGGTGAGGGAACCGCTTTGGGCACACAAGGGCGAGGCTTCAATCAAGGAGAGGCTCCTGGCGCCTGAAATAACGTTTTATAATCCGCTTTAATGTATAGCACGCCATTTTATAATCACAGATTTGCTGGTCCAAACCCCAGCACATACTAAGGACACCCCGTTGCCCTTGATCAGGCATCCTCAAACTGAAGCCCTCCTTCTGTTTGGGCCTCCAACTCCCATACGCCCCAGCCTGTTCAGTAGTCAGGAATTTTGGGAGTTGGAGGCCCAAACAGCTGGAGGGCCGCAGTTTGAGGATGCCTACCCCAGATGCAGCTACACTGTAAAATTTATGCAGTCTGACACCATATTATTGCTACTAGCTGTGGCCCAGTTTTATATGTTTTGTGTGTGTATATATGTGGTTTTGCACATGCGTTGTAATGTATTTTTTGGCTTTTTAAGTCCCTTCCACTGTGTTTTTCAGTGTTTTTATGAGTGATGGCCACTCGTTGGCCTGATAGGTGTATTGTGTCCAAATTTCGTGTCAAATCATAGAGTTGGAAGAGACCTCATAGGCCATCCAGTCCAACCCCCTGCCAAGAAGCAGGCTTTTGAGTTATGTTGACCCCACAAACGAACATTACATTTTTATTTATATAGATTGGTCGTGGAAGTTGTAGTTCGACAAGATCTTTAGCTTCCTCTGCCTCTAAACAAATAAATAGTCTCTCACCAAACTCCAGGATTCCAGAGCAATGGGCCTTGGCGGTGAAAGTGGTACCAAACCGCGTTAATTCTACAGTGTAGATTCTCTCCCCCCCTCCCAAGTCGCTTTCTTCCAGTACTTACTGTGTTCTCCTTGTCGTTCAAGGTCAAATTTTTCAGAGGCGACAAGCGGGACTTGTGCTGCTGCTCGTTGCGAGCCGAATGCGCATTGCGGGTGGCCAGCATATTTTCAGCGGGAAAATAAAATAGATTGGGAAGACAAGCTGGAGCAATAAGGCTTCCTCTTGATTGTTTAGCGGTAAGAGAAAAGACGACCGGCTCGTTTTGGCGGTTTATATCCCTTTCGAACTTGGCGCCAGAACGCCCCGGCGGGCCAATCAGGCGGGAGGCGCGCTCCCATTGGCGGAGCGAGCGGCCTTGGAAACGCGGGAAAGGCTGCCAGAGTTCCTCCCGCTCTGCGCTGCCATTGGCTGACCGCCCGGACAACAAAAGAGCCCTCAAGGCGGGAACTGCGGGCTAGACCATTCCTCCCGCCCCTTCGCTCCTATTGGCTGAGAAGTCCTTGAAAAATTCTTGGACCTGATTAGCCGCGGGAATGGTCTGTCACTGTTCTGCTTTTCCAATTGGTCAGGGAGAAACTCCCTTGCTGTTTGTTCTTCCTTGGTGTCTTTTCTTTTCTATTGGCAGGTTTTGGGGAAAGGCAGCAACTGAGAATTACTTAAAACTGTATTTTTTTTCGAAAGAATAGTTGTCTCCTGTGCTATGTTAATAGCATAATATAATGTAATATATTGTATATGCATATAATATTTATATTATAATCTAATGCAATATAATAACAATATATTATAATTATATATTTATATTACATATAATATTACTAATAATATTACAATATAATGGTATAGTACAATATAGTAATAATAAATATGTATATATTTCAGATTTCAATATTAATCTCAAAAATACGTAGTATGATTTTACATAAGATTTGTGCTACATTCAAACAGTAAAGACAAATATCACTTAAGTAAAATAACATTAAATATTAAATAACCAGTAAAATAAAAAGGTGTAAATACTAAACTAATCTGGATTTTGTATTATTGTACTATGCTAATAATATAATATATTGTGTGTGTGTGTGTGTGTGTATATACATATATATATATATATATATCTTGTAAGCCGCTCTGAGTCCCCTTCGGGGTGAGAAGGGTGGCATATAAATGTCGTAAATAAGTAAATAAATAGTTTATTTCAGTGGCGTTGGTTAGAAATAAATACTAGTTCAGAGAATCACAGAACATGTAAACTTGTGGATATGGGAAATACTAAGGAAATAAACTTCAGGACTTGATCAGTTGTTTGGCATGGAAGCAATTCCCTGATTTATAAATCTACATAGGAGTAAATCTGGCAGAGATCACTGATACTTTTAGATCCCAAGTAAAAGTGTGCAGAGGTAGGATGCATCCAGACTATTACATTAATGTAATTTGGCACCGCTTTAGCTGCTATGGCTCAGTGCTATGGAATCCTGGGAGTTGTAGTTTTACAAGGCCTTCTTTGCCATGATACTGTAGCACTGGACAGATATAGTATCTGTTCTGTAGTAAATGATGCCATTTTATTGAATGGAAAATATATGTGTTTGTGTGTGTGTGAATGGTTTGAATGTTTGAATAAGCGCACCCAGTTTCCACCCAGTGTATTTGAAATCTCCCATCAGAGAGCTCTGGTGCCTCACCAAATTACAAATCCCAAGATACAGCCATATCAGTTGAAAGTGGAATCAAACTGCGGTCACATTGTAGTGGGGATAGAAATCTAAGGCTTCTTTTACACTGCCATATAATCCAGATTATCAAAGCAGATAATCCATATTAACTGGATTATATGAGTCTACACTGCCAGATAATCTGGATTTTAAATGGCAGTGTAGAAGGTGCCTAACACAGGCAGTGTCCTCACTGAAACTCTGGAGACACATTTGCCAAAACAGAAATACCAGAAGGTAATTAGCTTTTCAATTTCACATAACCAACTCTAGTTTCTTACGGCCTAAAATGGTTTGTGTGTGTTGTTTTAGATTTATGTTGCTGTTTTATATGCTTATGTATTGTTTGTTTATATGCGGGGCTTCTGTGAGCCACCCCAAGTTCTTTCGGGGAGATTGTGGCAGCATATACATTATTATTATTATTATTATTATTATTATTATTATTATTATTATTATTAGATACATAACAAGATTAGTACATAGTAAACAAGATCATTTTGCTGGCTTTTGTATTTTGATCACACATCAGACACTTCCCAAGTGTCTGGGACTGTATGATGTATCAGAGAATAATGCAGTAGGGTGGCCTTTTGCAGCTGACAGATGGTAATTTGGTCACCGCCTATTGTTTTTAAGTGAAGGCCAAGGTCTTTAAGCATGGCACCCAGTACCTAAAGTGCATAATAAATAAATAAATATTATTATTATTATTATTATTATTATTATTATTGTGAAAGGACCAAGGCAGTGACATCTCCGGCCCACCCCCTGTTTGGGTATCAGCCAGCACTTCAACGACTTAAATCTAGAAATAGTTTTCTAAGATCTACAGAGACACTCACTGGAACACCTCAGCAAGCAAGAGTCCAAAAGTGGCAGGCTCAAACCCAGAACCTCCACCAATGGCTGATACCAAATGAGAGACTCCTTCCTGGGCACACAGAAAACTGGGCAACTTGGAAGGTGCTGAACCACAAGATGCAGAGCCAACCTTAAGTGGAATCCACGACATGTGAGTGTGGAGAAGAGCAAATCACAGACCACCTGCTGCAATACAACCTGAGCCCTGCCACATGCACAATGGAGGACCTTCTTGCAGCAACACCAGAAGCACTCCAAGTGGCCAGATACTGGTCAAAGGACATTTAATAGAATACCAAGCCTGCAAATTTTGTGTTTTGTTTGTTTGTTTGTTTGTTTTTAATGCAATACAACTGTTTTGGTTCACTCCTGACACGATAAATAAAATAAAATTATTATTATTATTATTATTATTATTATTATTATTATTGATTTTAGTAATTTCAGATAAAAGAACGCTAGCAGCCTGTTGAAAACCATTGAAGGAAAAGGCAAGATTGCCAGAGGAGAAGCCAAAAAGCCACCGCAGGCCAAGATAAAGGGCCTTTCCACACAGCCATAAAACTCAGAATATCAAGGCAGATAATCCACAACATCTGCTTTGAACTGGATTATCTGAGTCCACACTGCCATATAATCCAGTTCAATGTGGATTGTATACAGCTGTGTAGACGAGGCCAAAGGCTTGATTTTCTTTTTCTACCAGTTCCCCAATCTCACTTAGAGCCCTGGACCTCTCTTTTAATACAAAATGAGTCAGGGTATTATGTCATTTCTGGTGGAAACCCATCTCGTCAAGAAGAAATCCTTGCCATCAGCACCTTCTAGTCAGGAAGCAAAAAAGTGCCCTTGGGGCTTGCATTTGCTGGGAATATGTTAGGGTTTGAATGCGCATTGATGGCAATGGAGTCAGAAGACATTGTTGCAGGGCAAGGGTGGGCAACTGTAATAATTCCTTGCCATTCAGCCATGGCAATTAAAGTGGTCTCAATCTGCATTAATCCCACAGTGTCACTACACCCCAGTCTTCTCCTTCCTTCTATAAGTTAAACAGCAAAAGGAGCATCTTGTACTATCTGCACAAATCCATTGGTAATGCTGTACTTGGTGGATTTCAGCTCTCATTTAATGCAGTGCTGTACATGAGTGTCATGTTCATCCCAGTGCCCCCAAACCAGGATACCTGTGTTCATTTAGCATGCAGTTATTTCTCTCTGACCCTCTTCATGTCCAGGTTTGACAAGCAGTGGCTCCCTAATTGTTCAACAGCTTGGCTGCTCAGTGAGGAGGAAGGCTGCCAGCGTTCACCATATGTGCATCCTATGATGAAAAGAGAACACTTGTTTCTGAGCATGGCCTTTCCGACACTCGTCTGTTGTCTTTATAGAGCCGAAAGGAACCCAACTGCAAAACAAGATGGGCTCAGGCCTACAAAGAGCACAATCTCATTGAGCAGCCAAGCTGTGTCAAACAATTAGGGAGCTTCCAGTGTGTGTGTGTGTGTGTGTGTGGAAAAATTACTCTCAACTTCAAAAAATTCCATCAGCGTTGCCTTTGAAAAGTCCTGCATATCTCTTTTTGAAGATAGGCAGACAAATGTCAGTGTTCTGGAAGAAGCAAAGATCACAAGCATCAAAGCCATGATTCTCCGCCATCAACTTCGCCGAACCATCCATGTTGTCCGAATGCCCAATCACTGTCTCCCAAAGCAGTTCCTTTACTCTTAGCTCAAGAACGGAAAATGGACCGGTAGACAGCAAAAGAGATTTCAAGATGGGGTTGAAGTTAACCTTAAAAAGTGTTGCATAAACTCTGAGAACTGGGAAGCACTGGCCTTGGAGTCTTCTGACTGGAGGTCAGCTGTTCCCAACAGTGCTGTGAATTTTGAAGAGGCACAAATAGATGGTGAAAGGGAGAAACATGCCTAGAGGAAGAAGGCGCATCAAGCAAACCCTTGTCATGACCACCTTCGATCTGGAAACCTAGGTCCTCATTGTGAGAGACCGTGTGGATCCAGAATAGGTCGCTAACCACTTAGGGATCCACCGTCAATACTCTACCCTTGCAAGACCATCATACTTGGCCATGAGCAATAGCTTATGAAATACACACAGAGACATACAATTATGCTTTTATAGAGAGGGATAGAGAGATATGAAGGGAAACATTTCACGCCCTCCCACTGGACCTAAACCTAGCTTTTTCCTGTCCTGTCATCTTATACTTTCACATAAATATAACATATAACAGTATTCTATGTATTTTTAATTGGAAAGGAATCCTTTCTTCTAGTCCATTATACTGCGTACGTACTTTCTAATCACGTTAAGGATTGCAGCCTCAATTTTTAATGCCTGATATGAAAAGCCCTTCCTATATCAAAGCAGTATACGTAAAGGGTGTGGAAGCCATCATATAAATATAATTGCATACTATTTTGTCCTTTCAAAGGACAAACTCTCACACAAAAATCTCCTGTTGAGTAAACATTTAAATCTTCAGTTCAGTTTTAGCAATAAAAACACCCTTTCTGTCAAATTTATTGCATACTCTTAACTCTTAAAATATTTTGTCCCGTTTTTAAAAAATATACCAAGTATGCATGTTCAGCCAAATTTGTAAATGCATTTTGAGGGGTGGGATATTTTTTGGGATTTATGTCTGAGGACAAAGTTAATTAAACACAAGCTTCGCCTAACGCATCAACATGTTTAATTAGCTTTCTTTGCTTTTGTCTTATGCATGCAAATGTTTCCTAAAAACACCTGTATATTTCAAAATAAGTTGGGAGGCAAGGTGAACATGGCTATTTTGGAGTTCTGGTTGAACGGAAACTGGGGTGTATGTAGTAGTATTTCTATGGAAATGTAAAGCTGTTCAC